AAAATTATACCACGAAACTCATATAGGAAAATTACAAAGAGCATTATTATGTTTAGGTAACAAGACAGAGGTACAAACATTAATTTTAGAAAATATTAGGATATTTAAGCGCGACAAGATACATTATCTAAAATTAAAAAAAAGTGCAGCAAGATACAAATGGAGGTATATAAGTATAATTTTGATAAACTATAAGGTATTTAAGTTCAGTTAAGACTATAAAAGATTTGAAACATTTATTTTTAGTATATGATTCCATTGATAAATAATATTCTTTATACAATATGAGGCCAGATGCTTAGCTTATATTTATATAGTAGAGGAGATGTGGAAAAAATTAAAGTATCATATTTTGAACGAGTTTCAAGATTTTGAATTATTTTTTGAAATTATATAATTCGCTTAGAAAACTTTAGAAGGTGTTTTTGAAGGACTACTATAATGTGTTGGACAACAAATAAATATTGAATAAATAAAATTCATGATATCGGATTGTAAAAAATCAAGAATATGTATGTAATAATGGGTGTCATATGAGATAATATTCATACATAACATGACATTGTAATACGTAATCTAACATATTAATGAATTTTAAACATAAGACTTTATATAAAGATATATGCTTAAGATTTGGAAGAAGAATTGTGGCTTTTATGAGTTTTGTGGGTTCCAATTTTGTTTCCCAAATATGATCTAAACCTAAGCCAACAATCAAATTAAAAATAACACGATTTTATTGATATCTACAAAGGGATATATCAGTCAATTTTCAATAACGGTCGATATATCAAAAAAACAAAAGAAAATATAAAATATTACAGAGATGAAGTCTTTAACCCGATATATTAGCTGATATAGCAATATATTGGCTGATATTTAATAGAATGCATATAAGAGCAAATATGTAAATGTTATTTAGGTATTAGTTCCTTAATTTTAAATATATCTAATGATTCTATGTTATTCCCTCAAATTTTTAAAATTGCTCATAATTTTAGGGACTAATATTAAATTTATTAAAATTTTGAGACACAAATTATAAATAAGCTATATTTAAAAGAAGAGTTAATTTTTTAAATACCCTCCCAACTATGAGGATTTTCTTAAAAAAACCCACTCAACCGATTCAATTGACAAAACTCCCTTATTTAAGGGTGGTATTATAGATAACCCCTCTCACTTTCGGTGCAAATTTAGAAAAAACCTCTCAACTATAACGTCTCTCATGAAACCTCCCCCTAATCTTTTACACTTCAATCAACAAACCTCCTTAACTATAGCGTCTCTCATGAAACCTCTCAACTTCATTTTGACATGTGACCAACACGCGAGAGTGTTTTAGGAAATATTCTCATGCACAGCGTGCAAAATTTAAACAAGCTAGGATTTATAATAACTGACATGATTTGTAACTCGGGGCATATAAATGCTAAAGTAGCGTAACTGTAGGGTATATAAGTGCTATTTAGCCTTACCTATGTGCCTCCGTTTCGCGCCCACTCATCTGAACTATCAAATTAGTTTATTTATCGCTCAATGAACTATTTTTTTTCTAGTCTTATCTTACCCTTTGAACTATTAAAATTGTTTATGTTTACTTTTTTTTATTATCATAAAGTAATAAACAAAAAATGGAAATTAGGTACTTGAAGTCACAGTTCAGGGAATAAGTTATGAGGAGCACTAGGGGCCCCCCTGCACTGTAGCAGGTGAGGGGTGTGGTTGGGAGTGTGTCCCAAGGTGTGCCCCAAGTGTTTTTTATAAGTTATGGGACCAAAAATACTTCAAACATACAGTTCATGGGTTATGGTTATGCGCAAAAAAAATATCTCATAGCTTAGGAGGGCAATAGTGCCTTAATTTTTATTATTTTTTTTCCCCCCTAATCAAATCCATAAATGATAAGTCGATGAAGGCGAGGGGTTGTCTGCAGCGTACCTTTTGGGGGCAGCAGACTCCCTTTAGTCCTCCCTTTTCAATAGACGGGTGGGGGCCCAACCCCAGAAAAGAATAGGGGCATCGTCCAAAACGTGAGGGATACGAGGCGCGAGGTCACATGGGCGACGTCAGCATAGCAGCTCAGTTCCGCGTCTCCGCTCTCACGGTCTTTTTTATAAGTTATGGGACCAAAAATACTTCAAACATACAGTTCATGGGTTATGGTTATGCGCAAAAAAAATATCTCATAGCTTAGGAGGGCAATAGTGCCTTAATTTTTATTATTTTTTTTCCCCCCTAATCAAATCCATAAATGATAAGTCGATGAAGGCGAGGGGTTGTCTGCAGCGTACCTTTTGGGGGCAGCAGACTCCCTTTAGTCCTCCCTTTTCAATAGACGGGTGGGGGCCCAACCCCAGAAAAGAATAGGGGCATCGTCCAAAACGTGAGGGATACGAGGCGCGAGGTCACATGGGCGACGTCAGCATAGCAGCTCAGTTCCGCGTCTCCGCTCTCACGGTCTTTTTTTTTTTTTTTTCCTTTTTTCTGTTCAAGGAACGCTCTCATGGTCTTGTTGGCACCGGGATCATCAGAGATGTTATTTTTGTGTCGGGTGCAATGACGAAAGTGCCCATGTCAACCTCAGCTCAAGTACGCTACCAAGATTCTCATACCTCTCATTCATTAACGCAGATTACTAATTGGTTATTATAAAGATTATAACCGTATTAATGATTTCCTGTTTACAGCGTTTCTCATACATCAAAACATTATTCCCTCGTCGTTTCATGAATTTCTAATGCTAAAGACTAACATTATTCCCTCATAAAGGCATTTTGTTTTGGGTGGGCGTGGGTTTGCACGCACAAAGGCGTTATGACCCCACATACATTGCTAGTGTCAGGCTGTCAGCCAGCTATTCTGTTTCCCAAAAGAAATCTCCCCAGCCACCTTCATATTCCTTTACATTAGTATTTTTAGTTAGTAAACGTATAAGAGTAACAATTAGATAACGGGTTGACCTAGCCAAGATTCCTTGTCTCAAGAAAGAAGTAATAAATAAATAAAGATAACAATAATTAGCTACTTAATCTAATTTAAGAAATTATATTCGTAAAAGGCAATAGTATTTTTTTTTCTTCCTTTCCTATTTTTTACCCTAATTCTAATTGGTTTTTGCACGCCTTCGTTCTTTCTCTTATTACTCTATTTCACTGTTAGCTTGACTCGGTCATGGTGACCAAATCAACGATGATTCTCAGTAGAGAGAATTGCGGAACGTGATAACATGAAAGGGTTGTTGAGAGAAAATCTCTCATTGGGGCGGATCTGAGAGGGTGGAGTTAGTGGGTTTAGCCCCTATAAATGGTGGAGTAATTCTCCTTGAGAAATCACAACAAAGAAAGTGAAAAAACTCTTATCCATTAGCGGAACCCTCTCAAAAATCTGTTCTTTCTTCTTCCTTGAGTTTAAATCATTCACCTAGGGTAAAAGCAGCATTACCTGTTATCCCACGGAGTAGAATAATTGCCATTTTCAGATTTATCCATTATGGTAAGGGAAAAGACATCTTTCCCCAATACATTTTATCCTGCCCAATGCCAACTCTATGATCATACATCCAAGCAACAACCAAATGAGCTGAAGTTCCTATTTTCAATCCTACCTGCTAGTTGCCTACTCTATCTCTCCTACCTAAAATACTTACCATCCACAAGTTCCTCTTCTAATGTGCTTCCACTACTTCAGTTGAAGTATTTATTCAACTTGTCTGCTAAATTTCCCACCTAAAATACTTATCACCCACAAGTTCCTCAATCTGTACATGATTCCCTAGTACAGTAGAAGTATTTGTTTTCAGCCTCTACCTGTCTGCTTATTCTCCCACCTATAATACTTGTACAAGTTCCTACTTCTGATACGCTTTTGGTAATATTCTCTTTTATCACAACAAAATACGTTATTCTACAATGGAGCAAAACAGAAACTTGTTTTAGTCCTTAATACATTATGCACCAATTTTGTATAAACACCCGTATTGCATAGACACCAATATAAGCCATGGATAAGTACAAAAGCTAAGGGAAAAAGGGGGATATAGAGCACTAGACATGATGATTGTAATCTTACATACAAGCATACACAAGAAATTATCAAGAGATGATATAAAATCGAGTTTCATAACAATAAATTGTACAAAGCTAATTTCACATAAACTGCAAATCTCTAATGACATAACCCAAAAACACTTAAGTATCGCGTGTCCAAGTCAACTTACCTCTGGGCTAGTTGAGGGGCTGATATGTGCTGTGTCAGGTTTGTGTCGATGAAATGTCTAGCGTTTGTTGATGCAGATACTCGGACATGGATTTGTGTGCTTCAAGCATAATTCCATGCAACGCAGATTATAACAAATATTTGTGTGTTCAGCTCCTCCAAATACTTATAGCTGCATCTTTATATGCTATGAATAAAATGTGCTTTCTTTTTATGTGCAAGTATGCGCGTGTGCGTATTCCAAGCCAAAGAATACAGATAAAATGGTGTGTGAGCATATGTGGAGGTGAATTCCAAGTCAAAGACTACAGATAAATTTTACACGCATATATAGCTAGCGTAAAGTAGAAAAGAAAAAAAAGTACATCTTTTTCACTTTGGATTGAGAATATATCAACATTCATGGGGTATTTGTAGAAAAGACAGAATACCTAGAGGGATCACCTGTCCAAAATCCTTATTTCGGAGTCTCACTCATCAACAGACCACACATTGGGTCCGTCAACATACATCTGCAAACAGAACATTCAAAAGGTTAGACTTCAATCAACTACTCTTATATATTATTGTACACGAAACAATAATTAAACAGAACATTCAAAAGGTTAGACTTCAATCAACTACTCTTATATATTATTGTACACGAAACAATAATTAGTTGAAAGAAGGCATTCACTGCACCCCAATCAACTACTCTTATATATTATTGTACACGAAACAATAATTAGTTGAAAGAAGGCATTCACTGCACCCATTTTTTTCACAAGAGAATTACCCACTATTCATAGAGCTGATTCACAAACAAAGCTTTTGTCACCGTATAAAAGACATCTTTCGTGTGCTTTGCAGTGTACATATTCCAGAAATTTTGTGGCTATTGCTAATCATATAAAAGTGTACAAGACAATATAGGACATTGACATACATTAAATATTGAATTTAAACACCTAGGTGATATGATCCATAACTTTGAACTGCAATGCCTTTAACATATAACGTTGCAAATTTGAGACAGAAAGTCTCCAACTCCCCTGAACTTAATTTATGACA